CATGGGGGGCTCGGACAGTGGGTGGGGGTCAGGGGCCTTGTGGCAGAGCGCCCCCATGCAGCACAGGGCAGTGGGGAGCAGCAGGAATTGCCTCCCTGCCTGTGCAGCCAGTGAGTCAGGGCTTTTTTTTCCAAGTGCTGGGAGCTGGGGTGGGCAGGGCAGCCATTGCCTGGTCTGGGAGAGCAAGTGGGGAATGGGGCCTGTGTGATTTGGAGATCTGGCAGCAGCCAAATCTCCAAATCAGCTTCAGCTGAATTGATTTGGGACAGTGATTTGAATCACTGAATCAAATCACTGTCCCATAAATCAGCTGAATCCAAAGTGAATACTAGCTGCTTCGTACAGTCCTAGTGCACACCCTTAATGCGCCTTTAAAATGACAATTTAAGGCTATGTGAGCCTAAATTTGATAGCTGCATAAAGCAGGTATCGAATTTAGGTGTGAATAGCTAAGTTGCATTAGCGCACGTGTAGACATGCTAATGTGCATTAATACAGTGTGCATCAGTGGATACACACCATGTTAATGCGTGCTAGTGTGTCTGCACATGCGCTAATGCAACTTAGCTATCCGTGCCTAAATTTAATGTACCTTAATGCACATTAGCACATCCATGTGTAGATGTGCACCTAAATCACCTTAATATGCCTGCATTAAGTTTAGGTACATATATGCATGCCTATTATGGTTCAGTCTTGTACTTCTGAAGTCAATGATAAGAAGTTCAGATCTGACTTGTCTGGTTTAAATTGTCTCTTAACTGGAACATACAATAATCCCTGAGTAGCTGTTATTCATTGTATTATTCTTATGCACCTACTCAGATAAGATTATGAAGAGAATAGTAGAACTGTAGCAACATGGATCTTTGAAAACTCCTGGCGCTCTGGTGTAGTGCCCGAAGACTGGAAGAAGGCCAATGTGGTGCCTATCTTCAAGAAAGGGAGGAAGTGGATCCGGCTAACTATAGGCCCATCAGCCTGACTTCTATCCCGGGGAAGGTCTTAGAAAAGTTTATTACAGAGGCCATCCTTAATGGATTGGCAGATGCCAACATCCTGAGGGATAACCAGCACAGGTTTGTTGCGGGTAGGTCTTGCTTGACCAATCTCATTTCCTTTTATGACCAGGTGACCTATCACCTGGACAAGGGAGAAGAGACTGATGTCATATCTTGACTTAGGTTAGCTTTAGGAAGAACTACTTCAAGGTAAGGGTGGCCAGAGCCTGGAATAGGCTTCCCAGAAGGGTGGTGCTCTCACCTTCCCTGGAGATCTTCAAGAGGAGACTGGATAGGCACCTGGTTGGGGTCTTATGACCCCTGCCACCCCCAGTGCTCCTTCTTGCCCATGGCAGCGGGTCGGACTAGATGATCTGTCTAGGTCCCTTCTGACTTATTGATTCTATGATTCTATGACTTCAAAAAAGCCTTTGATATGGTATCCCATGATCACCTCTTGGTGAAACTGGTCAATTGTAGCCTTGGGTCCACCATGATCCGGTGGCTGGGGAACTGGCTCCATGGTTGGACCCAGAGGGTGGTAAGAGACGGAAATCAATTGTCATGGTGCCCTGTGACCAGTGGGGTCTCCTAAGGCTCTGTTCTTGGACACACATTGTTCGACATCTTCATTAATGATGTGGACATTGGAGT